GGAAAAGATAAAGATAAAAAACGATGAGTGAAATTTTATTATTGATGCCTTTTTTTTTTTTTCCTCCTTGTCATTGGAATTTGTAAAATCTTTAAAGATTATTTCAACAGAAATTAAAAAAAAAAAAAAGCGGAAATGAAAAATGAAAAATAATTCCAGTAAGTGTTAAAAATATATTACATTTAATTGAAGTACAATTAAAAAAAAAAAAAGATTTTGAAATTATAAATTTTAATTAATGAAATGTGTTGTTTTGTTTTTTTTTTTAAAATATTTTTACATTTCGTCTTTTTTTTAAAATATTTTTCAGAATTCAATCAATAAATATCTAATAAATAAGAAGAAACATGAAATAATTATCATTTTTTTTTTTGAAACATTTTAATTTTGCTTTTTAAATAAAATAAATTGCATAAAGCAAAAGTTATATTTCTTTATTTTACCCTTTTTTTCTTTTTTTTTTTTGTTTTTTTGTTTCGCAACATGTCAACTTAATATGAAAATAAATGAAGTATGACATGTCAACTCAATAATTTTGTATGCAAAATACCTAACATAAATGGTTATTAAAATTAAAATCCAATTTGTTGGCAAACTTTTCAAATATTTTTAATCAAAGGAAGAAAAAAGCCATACATATCCATATTATTCTCATTTCAAATATTCCACTACTAACAACGATTGTTGTTAGGGTAAGGATAAATAAGCTAAAGTTTAAAGTAAGCATTAACCTGATTAATGTGACAATTTGAAACAAACAAAATTTAAATGAAAAAACCTAACCTCGTATGCTTAAATTTTATCAATACTTGTTGCTGATGATTATGATATTATCAATTATTTAAACAATCCAAACAAAATACACCTAGCATGTTTAAATTTTATCAGTACTTGATCCTGATAATTATGATATTATCAATTACTTAACTAAAAAATAGAAAATGTCTAATAATATTTACTTTGTTAGCGTTTTGCTTAAACTATTTTCACTTACTTAATCATATTTTTAACCATTGCAAAATTAATTTTTCCAATAGGAAATAAATTTTTTGGGAAATTATTTCTTTCCACCCAAAAAAAAAAAAAAATTGCAAGCAAAATAAAAGTTTTCCTTTTTTTCACAACAATTATTTTATAATATTATCAAAATATGCAATCACTTAAAGAAATAAAAACAAAAGAAAGAAAAAAGGAAAATTTCAAAAGTTTACTTTCAAAAAAAAAAAAGAAAACTTCAAAAGCTAATTTAAAAAAAAAAAAAAATTGTCGAATGGAATGATTGTTGGAAGAATAATAAAAGGAGAAATGAAATTATTGCAAAAAAGAAAAGGCGGAAAATTGATAGAAAATTGAAAATGAAAAAAAAAAAAAAGGGAAAAAAATGATGCATGCAATGAGAAAGGCGGAAATGTTAAGTGTACAGGATAAATAAAATGGGGTTGGTTAAAAGAGGAATTAAGTTTAAAGTTTAATGCTAATAAAATTGAGCTTACAAAGATATTGATAGTAAAAAAAAAAAAGAAAAAAAAAAAGAAATAATAATAAAATAAAATAAAGGGGAAAAGGGAGAAACAATAAATATTTTCCTGATTTGGTATGGAAAAAAAAAGAAAAAACGGAAATAAATGATCAGAAATGATAGGAAATGAAAAAAAACTTTAATGAAAATTAAAATTATTTATTACTTTTTTTTTCCCATTTTTCAATAAAAATAAATACGTTTTTTGTTCGTTTTTTTTTTTTTTTGTTTTTCATCTTTGTTTAAATGATTTGTAAACAATACATTTTTTGAAAAACATATTTCACTAATATTTTATTGAACGGTTTTTTTTTTTTTTGAAAAATAATATTTGAAATAGCAATTAAAACGGCTATTTTATATTCAAATATTAATTGCTAAAGTATTAGTTCTTAAAAAAAGAAAAAAAAAAAAGAATTGTGATGTTTTTTTTTTTCCTGCTAAAAGAAAAAAGAAAAATGCTCATCAAATTACATTTTATCCTATTCCTGAATTTTTTTTTAATAATTTTTTGAGATTTGTTACTTTTGCAAATTTTCGTTTTTATCAAATTTAAACTATCAAAAATTTTGATTCCTATAATTTAACAATTGCGAATAAATTGATTTTTACCAATCATATAATTTAATAAAAATTCATTGGTGATGAATCATTAAAATTTTAGCAAAATATGACGAAATAACGAATTTACCGCAAGTTAAAGAGCAAAAAGGAAAAAAAAAAGTTGAAATTTAGTCAATCAAACTTTTTTCATTGAATTTTAAATTTTGTTGAATTTTATGCAAATATCATTTTTAAATGGGGTGGGGAGAAAACCAAGCATTTCATTATTATTATTATTATTATTATTATTATTATTATTATTATTTATTATTATTATTATTATTTATTATTATCATTATTATTATTATTACTATTATTATTATT